AAATCGGTTCCACATTAATCAATCATATATATATATATATATATAATAATGGGAGAAATGAAACCAGATCTCATCGCCAGACCTCTCCAGACCTCAGTCCGTCGCCTCCCCCTCTGTCTGTCTCCTGCCACTGCCGCTCGCCTCACCGCTGCCTCTTTCTCTCCTCGCCCTCCGTCGCTCGTGTAGAGTCACGTCGGCCTCTCCCCGTTCATCGCCTCTGTTCATCTCACTGAGAGGGGGCTTAGGGTTGAAGACCACACAAAACAAAAGGGAGATCTGAAACCAAAAAAAAAAAAAAAGGTTCCAAAACGACGTCGTTTGAACCACCGCAGGGGCCTGCATGGAAATGTATGGCAAGGATCTGGACCTTTTTGGATTACACCTCGCTACCAATTAGCAGCTCCGTCACCCACATTCCGAGTCTTAAAATATGCTTAGAGATATATAAAATTGTTATTTAGGCTCTGTTTGGCCAAGTTAATTTCAGGCTTTTTTTTGGCTATTTTAGCCACAAAAAACAAAATAGGCTATTTTAGCCATAACAAACAAAACATCACATCCAACCCATAATCATTACATTCTTCTCTCACAAAAAAAGTTAAAAAAGTCAAAAAGTCAAAAAGCCCTTCCCAAACCAAGCTTTTTAACCCAGGCTAAAATAGTCAAAAAAACTAAAAAGCCCAAAAAGCCAACCCACTTCCCAAACCAAGCCTAGATCTTAAAAACAAATAGTTAACCTTGCCAATGCTATTCTACCAACCCAAAAATGAAATTCCAAAAACAACCCACTAAGGCTATCGAGTTTGAAGGTTAGTGGCAGAGAAGTTAGGTATAGTCATAGGAGAGAGAGAGAGAGAGAGAGGGGTCAAATCTAATCTAATGCAGACAACGGCTTTATATCCCCCTCGAATTTGCCACCAAACAATTTCACAGACACACAACAGGAGCAAGAGAGCAAAGCAGAAAGAGGAGAGGGCAGGAGGAGATAAAAAGTGCTTATCTTCAAACCATATCTTCTATTTCAAGAAAAACCCAAGAAAAAATGGATCCCAATAACCAAACCCTAGAGAACCCAGAATCCCAAACACCATCAGAAGACCAAAACCGTCTTGCCATTGTATCCTCCTCCAACAACAACAACCCTCTTCCCACTGCTTCAATCTCTCTCTCTCTCTCCACAATCCTCCCAACCCATTTCCTCCTCCCTCCCAAAATCTCTTCTTTTCTCTCCTCTCCTACTCACCCCAACAAGGTCAAAATCCCTTCTCAAATCTCATCCCTCTCTCACCTCTCTCTCTCCTCCTCTCTCTCCCCTGCTAAACCTTTCTTCAAATCAACCATCTCCTCAAACCCTCTCCAAAACCCACTTTCCCTCAACCCCCGCCGCCCTTCCGACCCCTCCTACCCAGCCGGAATTCGTCGAGCTTCCATTGTTTGGTTCCGCAACGATCTTCGAGTCCATGACAACGAGTGCCTCAATTCAGCCAACAATGAATCCAGATTTTTTCAAAATTGCTCTACCATTGACTCAATTGACTCAAAAGGGGATATCATTTGACTGGACCGATCAGAGCGAATCAGCTTTCCAAGAATTAAAGACTCGACTTGTGACTGCACCGATTCTTACCCTATCCTCAGGTACGGATGGATTTATTATTTTTAGTGATGCTTCTTATAAGGGTTTGGGATGCGTATTAATGCAGAATAGTAAAGTTATTACGTATGCTTCCCGACAATTGAGGCCACATGAAAAGAATTACCCAACTCATGACTTAGAACTTGTTGCAGTAGTGTTTGCATTGAAAATTTGGCACCACTACTTATATGGGGCAACATGTAAGGTGTACACAGATCACAAGAGTTTGAAATATTTCTTTACACAGAAAGAGTTAAATATAAGACATCGGAGATGGTTAGAACTGATAAAGGACTATGACTTGCAAATTTTGTACCATCCGGGGAAAGCTAACAGCGTCGCTGATGCACTTAGTCGGAAATCAATTGGGAATTTGGCCTGTTTACTCACCGGACAGAAAGAACTGCTATGTGATCTTGAGGGATTTGAAGTTGAGATTATTTTACGAGAACAAGGTGGGACGTGGCTGCTATTTCTGCTCAACCGGCACTTATTAAGGAGATTAAAGAGAAACAACACCAAGATGACTTTTTGAAGAACGTCATTAATGAACGAGAATTCAAACCAAGGCCGAACTTTGAATTTGAAAACAATGTGTTAAAATTTCAGGGAAGGTTGTGTGTACCAAATGATTCTGAACTGAAAAGGTGAGTTTTGCAGGAAGACCACAATTCAAAACTTTCCATCCATCCAGGAAATACAAAAATGTACCAAGACTTGAAACTTAATTTCTAGTGGCCGGGAATGAAGAAAGAAATTGCCAAGTTTGTGTCGAAATGTCTACATTGCCAACAAGTCAAAGCCGAACATCAACGACTTGCAGGTTTACTTCAACCCTTACCGATATCGGAGTGGAAATAGGAACATATCACCATGGATTTCATTGTTGGATTGCCTCACTCCAGTAAAGGTATGGATTCAATTTGGGTTATTATTGATCGATTGACTAAATCTGCTCCACTCTTACCTGTCAAAACAATTTATAATGCGGACAAATTGACTACAATTTATATTGATGAGATTGTCAGATTGCATGGAGTGTCTGTGTCAATTGTTTCTGATAGGGACTCGAAGTTTACATCAAGATTTTGGTAAAGTCTGCAAACGGCATTGGGTACCGAATTGAGGTTGAGTAGCGCATACCATTCTCAGACAGATGGCCAATTAGAAAGAACCATGCAGACTCTTGAAGACTTACTGCGTATGTGTGTTCTTGATTTCCAAGGAAATTGGGAAAGTCATTTACCTTTAGCCGAATTCGCCTACAACAACAGTTTTTATTCGAGTATCGGTATGGCGCCTTTTGAGGCTTTATATGGCAAAAAATACCGATCTCCTATTTGCTGGGCAGAAGTTGGAGATGGGCCTTTACTTGGGCCTGGAATTGTACACGAGACCCCAGAAAAGGTGAAACTGATTCAACAAAAATTGAAAACCGCACAAAACCGACAGAAAAGTTATGCAGATGTACGAAGGCGAGACATGGAATATGAAGTGGGTGATCATGTTTTTGTTAAAGTGACACAATAAAAGGACAGACTCGTTTTGGGGCTAAGGGCAAGCTAGCACCGAGATATGCTGGGTCGTATGAAATCATTGAGAAGATTAATCCAGTGGCGTACCAAGTAGCGCTTCCTCCTGAAATGGAGCATATGCATAATGTCTTCCATACTTCAATGTTGAGGGATTATCTTTGAGATCCCTTCCATGTTATTGAGCTTACCCGTGTGGTGTTAAGTGATGATTACACCTATGAAGAACGACCTATTTAGATTGTAAATTGACGAATCAAGAAGTTGAGAAATAAGGAAATCCCGTCAGTGAAGATGGATTGGCAAAACCATGGTGGCGTTAATGCCACTTGGGAAATGGAAGACGATATGATGAAAAGATATCCTAAATTGTTCCCCCTAGATCCAGTGTTCTTCCAAAATGAAGGTAATTCGAGTTTGGAGGACCAAACTCTTTTTAAGGGGGGAAGGCTGTGACAACCCTCACTTCTGATTAGCGTTAAATTGTGATTAAGCATGATAAGTAATTGATTAAGATGAAATCCTAAATTGTTGTGTGAGTGTGTTGTTTAGAATGCATTTCTATCTGTTTGTTATTGAATGATCTATTCATGTTTTGTTGTCAAACTGCGGATTGAAAGCCTTATCGGCGACCGATTCAGAAATTGATTAGTGTTATATGCCAATTAGGATTTATAGAATTTATGGTAGGTTTAATTAAAATTCAATTTGGAATGATTAAATTAGAATAAATAATGCGAGATTAATTGAATATAGGTTATTCACGTTTTTGCCATTGAGTGGGCCACCTTTAGAGACATTGTTTGGGGCTTAATTCACACATTTGATACATCATCTTTTCCACTCTCAAGACCAAATCGTGAGTGAGAGAGAGATTGGAAGAAAAAAATTGATTCAACAAGAGATTGGCTTGAAACTGAGAGGAAATTGAAGAAGACTTGAGAGATTAGGCTTCTACACTTGGAATTCAAGACATAAGGTAGGAAATTCATTCTTTTAATTATGAAATTGAGTTGTTACATGCATGGTTTATGGAAAATTGGTGATTAGAGTCAAGAATTAGCTTAAAGTGTTGATTTGAGAGTCCATTCATACATGCATGTTCATATTATGGAGTTTTGAAGTTGTTTTGCACGAAATTCTTCCATGCATGTCTAGATCATAGTTGTAATCTAAGGATTCATCATGTTTTTGGGATGAATGGCTCATTTGATCATGTGTTAGAAGCTTTGAATTCAAATAAACACATGCATGGCATATTTACATCATGTTCTTGAATTTTGGGTTGAATTTGTGTTCAATCGACATACTTTTGGGTTTTGATTTTATAAAATGATCTTCAAAACAAGTTGTATTATGAGTTTCTAAGTGTTTTCCAGAAAATTGGCCCAAAAAGATGAGTTTTGGTATGTTTGATTCTTGGTTTGAGCTTTGGAAGCAAATCTGGAACACCCAGATTTTGGCTTCCACGCTCGAACAACCACTTTTGTGTTCAGAGCTCCACTTGAGCGACGGAATGCTGGCTCGAGCATAGATTGCAAGCTCCTAGTTTTTTTTGCGTGCGCAGACGCACGCTCGAGCGACGATACCTACGCTCGAACAAGGAACTGTGTTTCACGCCCGAGCAAGCATCGAGCGATCATCGAGTGGAGAATTTCAGCAACCAGTACTTTTTGTATTTTTACAGACCGCTCGAGTGAGGGAGTCTACGCTCGAGCGACCTCCCTATTTTGGTAAGCTCGCTCAAGCGGAGAAAACCACGCTCGAGCGAAGACCCCTATTTTCAGCAAATTTGAAAAGTGTTCTAATGTACATTTTTGCATCCTCATTCCATCCTAAGCATTCCTAGGCCATGTTTAAGGCATCTTAATGAGGATAATGTTATAGAACCACACCAAGTCAAGTTAAGGGGCTAGGTTATTAATCCCAAGTGTGTAACTTAGTGTGTGTTCGTTCTGCAACTGTGTAGGGTTGGCACCCGAGGACGCTGATTAGCCTGCCTATAGCCCAGTAATCTGTGAGTAATAATGTTGTAAAGCTATGTTCAATTATAATTATTTTCTGAATGATTGACTGTACTGTTTTCTGAAATGACATTGTTTACCGAATGAATGCGTGTCCTATTTTATTAACTGTACTCATGGCATCCATAGTGACTGATTGTTACTGTTACTGCTACTGTTACTGAGATCTCTGTCAGTTCCTATCCTTGGAACTACTGTTACTGTATTGATGGCCATTAACTGAATGTTCGGTCTATTAGGACCTACTGTACTGTCTTGTTATTGGATGTGCCACGTATGACTGCTATGATTTCTAATTGACTGATATGGCGTGAAATATGAGCCACCGATTGAATAACTCATCTGCTGATGGAAATGACTATTTTAATCACTGAAAGAACATTCATTCTTAATCCCTTTACACAGTTGTTATTCACTGGGTTTTAGCTCACAGTTTATATATGTATGTACGTGGCCAAGCACCGAACTGAAGCTAGAAGCATCAAGTTAAGCTCATGTTTTGTCAAGCCAACTGTTGTGCCTCACTTCGAGGTTCCGAGTCCGTTCAAGCCAAGGCTGTTTTGGGGTGTTTCATATTCACCCTTTTGTCTCTGTTATGTAATGAATGTTTAAGACTTTTGACTGTACAGCTATGGTAAATGGATTGGATCCCTAACCCGTATGTTATGTGTATTCGATATGTATATATGTTTATGGTTATGAATGTGGACTAGTCCATAAAAGTCTTTTTCCATCCAGATTTCCACAGCTCATTAGACATCTTTTATTTACTGATTGGCTTCCGCCAGCCCCTTACTCTGTACTATTGTTATTACTGTTAAGCAGGCCATTGGTAATAACGGATTACTGACTGGTTACAATGCTAAACCCTGAAGGGCGGGTTTGGGTCGTGACCTCACCTGTAGCAGATATCCCAACCCCCGACACACCCCTCCTAACATGTACTTAACTCTGGGAAACTGTTAACTTGGTGATTTGTTTAATAGGATGGGAAAACTCATCATCATCAAGAGTGGGAACACCAAGAGAAGAGAGAAAACGAGTGAGGAAACACTCGTATGGAAGACCCAAAGACTTACGACCCTCATAAACCGCAATCACTTTGGAAACTATCATGGCCGGTAGATCAATGTGAAGCCTGTGATCGATGCAATACAACATATAATCCTGATC